CACAAATCGCATGGATAACTCCATCCAAGACCTGCATAACATTCATCAATGCAGGTGAGACTACAGCATGTATATAATGTAAGGCATTTGTGACGCAATATCTAACATTGTCAACATTTCTTTGCTGAGATTCTTGGTGCAATAATCAAATATCATATAATAGTATCCTGGGATATGCAATGAAATTATATTACTTTCATGTCCATCTGATGATAAATTTTCAGGCAGGGGCCCATGAGTAGGAAATGTGTAACTCAGGGCCAAGCAGCAAAAACGGATGCTGAAGAGACAACCATGAATGTCACACTAACCCCAAAACAATTTTGACACCCAAATGTTAAAAAATTGGAGCCTCCATCATAGAATAAACGCCTTCCACTCACGCTCCCAATGAGATTTAGAAACTAATGAAAAGCTTAAAACGTTTCTACACTGCTGCATACATATGTATGAACAGTTGGACGACAAGAGCCACGAACTACCTTCAATGACAAGAGTTATTGCCTTATGGGTAAAAGTGACCGGACAGATATACTTATACAATATTTTAGCAAGAAAAAAGCAAAAACTTAAATATATCACATTTTTAAAGGTGTTTCTAGAAAATAATTTTGTGACAGATTCCGTCTTCTGCCCTAATGCTACCACTGGGGTTCATCTTTCCCCTTCCTCCAGATACTATTTAATTCTATGTAACAACATAAATAAAATGAAATTTTGGGAAAAGTTTCAACACAGAAGGTTTCTCAATTAGGAATCAGAGAGGGAAAGGGGAGAAAACTATACACAAACACAAATTTCACTAGCCAACCACATAACTAGTTACCTAGAATAACCTCAGGGGCTCTGTAATGCCTCGTAGAAACAATGGAGCTATGATTCTCATTATCAAATGCAGTACTACCAAAATCAATCAGCTTAATTGCACTAGACTTGGGCAAGCACCTGAATTGCGTTTCATCCGACGAAACCCTCTGTATCATTTCAAGCATCGTTTTTAAGATACATTTGAGTTTTCACCCAAATTTTCAGATTCGAAATATTTAAATACCTTACAACCAGGAAGCTTTATATATTCAGAAGACACAAGAAGTATATTTTCTGGCTTCAGGTCTGTGTGGATTAAGTGTAAATCATGCATATCTGCCAGATATGATGAAGCAAAGTAAACAAGTTAAACATGGCATGATTAGACATTTGCCACCCCTGAACAGAGGAAATAACAATGAAAATGGTTTCTGAGTTCTTTAGGGAAAAAGAGATAAATGAAAATCAGAGAAATGATGCAGAGGTTGAAAATAAATCCACACACATGCTACAGATTCCAAAAGCTGTCGTCCAAACTCCCGAACAAGATCCACAGGGAATGGGTGGTATTTATTTCTCTTTAGAAAATCAAATAAGCTTGGTCCAAGCCTCTCAAATACCTGATCAAACCATTCAAATGCATTCAAAGGAAGGCTTTTGTTAATTTTCCAATTCTATGAATAAGTCCACATGTACGAAAGAATTCATGTATATGTGAACAATGCATGTACACAATAATTGATAAGGTTTACCCAATAGCAAAAGAAAAACCGCCACTATTATGATAACTGAAAGAGATTAACTTCAGTTACCAGAAAATACAACATCAAAGGGGTCGCAATAACATCTTAAATATCAAGAAAGGGAGAGAAAAGAGATAAATCAATGGGCTTTAATTGAAATACTTACTATACATATGTGATTGCGGTAGTCAAACCAATTTCTAATCTGCACACAACTGCATGAGAAATATGTTGCAAACCAGAGTTAGATTGTGTTATCTGATGAATTGAAGACTATAAAACAAGGAAATAGATACACACCGTAAGCAGCCTGTGTCATTCTGAGCAAGATGCTTAAGTATATCCACCTCAACCATGGCTGCATCACGGTACTTTCTTATGCTCCGAACTACCTTAATGGCTACATATTCTCGAGTTTGCCGGTCCCAGCATTCCAAAACTCGACCAAATGTGCCTACAGCACTAGAAATTTGCTCAGTGGACTCCAGCAGAATGACAAAAACATAAAATCTTGCAGACAGCAGGGAACATGACAGCTAACCTTCACCCATCTTGCTGAGGATTTTATCTGCAAGACGTTCATGTTACCGATTACCCCAGTAAGATTCAAGAATGATAAATCAAAAACCCAAAACAATTAAGATAATGACCAAACGAAAACCTAATTGCAATTTAAGATATGGATAACTTGAGTAAATAACAAAAACGAAAGAGGACATAAGACAATATATATACATGGTTTTGGGTATTTGAAACAAATAAGGGATGTTCATTCCGCAGCTCCGGGAAACCTTAAAATATCAATGTGATTTCTTTCCCTGGTAAAAGGTAATTTCATTGATAATAAGAAATTCACAAGTAGAGTCTCCAACTCAACCTTTGCTGGAAGTTACAAAAGGGTCTATACTACAAAAAAATTAATGATATAGTCAAAGAATGGCATTGCAGCTTACACCAGGTGACAACAACCCAAAAAATCTCACAGAAAGTTCCAAGAATCCTTTCTTTCCCTAATGTGTTTTCTTTCTTTCAAGCAAACAACATAAGAGGAAGGTTCTCGTGATGTGTGCCTCAAAATACTGCCTTACTTTTATTAAGAATTTACCGTAAATCCCTCGTCTGATAAAGGAAAAAACCCCAACATTGCAGACTCGATTTCACACACTCCATACCAAACTATCATAGTATATTCAGCATCCAATTTAAAAGGCAAACCGACCAAAACAATAAAAGGGCACTCACATCTCGGAGTGAGATTCTCGCCGAGGTTGAAGACATAGTGTCCTTCACGATCATCGTCTCTTCTCGGGGGCGAGGCATGCCTTTTGACCTCATCCTTAACCACCACCAAAGCCTTATTAGCCTACACAGGAAAAAGATGCACCCAGCGACCTTCATGATTCGAAATAAAAGCCCTAATTGCCGTGACCTTCAGAATTCAACGTCGTCATCGCTGAAAATCCAATCCCAAAGCCAACGAACTAACCTCTTGTTCGGATGGCACCACATCCCATGCGGAACGAGGCCTTTTCCTGGTGGTCCGCTGTTGTTCTTTCTCCATTCTCTCAGCTTCCATGGCTGACATTCATTAATCAACACACACACACACACACTCTCTCTCTCTCTCTAAACTCTATACCGATACTGTTTATGAATGTACAAATAAATAATCAACAGATAAATCCCTGAGAATCACCAGAAAATTAGGGTTTCGGCGACTTGGTTCTACAAAATACAAAGATTCAGCAGCTCGCCGACCACCACAGATAATAATCGTAAGAGGCGAGAGGTTTTGAACAGGAAAGACGAGGCTGTTACTTCACGCTCGTGAATATCGTACATTCGATATATATATATATATCTAACGATTTGTTTTTTACCCTCCGAAATTCTTGTCCAAATATTAGAAGGAATTGGAAAACAATTTTGCTCAAAATTAGGATTCTTTTCCTCAAAATTTTATTTATTTCGTCATAAATTACCATTCAATCTTTTAAACCAAATGTTGCAACCCTACCGATGAGGTAAGGATGAAAGTCTGCTTTATTGAAAATGTCATCGTTCAACTGATCAAACCTATTGTTGTAATAACAGACTAATCTTCTTTAAAATTGTGTCGAGGACAAAGATTGTATTCTTCGTTTATTTATTTATATTTATTTTATCTTATAATTTCGTGAATTTTGATTAATAAGCTCTAAGTTTGACGAGAATATTACAAATTTTTAGATTTTTGAGATTTTGATTGTAAAACTTAAAAAATAAATTATATTTAAAATGTTTTTATTTTAATTTTTTTTGTTAGGAATTCTGTCAGTCATGTCAACAAAAATAAATAGAGAATTTCGAGAAGATATAAAATGAAATAGGGGCAAAGACAGAGATGGGTAAGGTTTCCCTATCCATGCCTTTCCCTGTGGACTACTATTGATAGTGCAATTTTAATTATAATTTGAACGACAACAAAAATTGTCTATACTCTAGACCGAGGTCATTTAAATGCAGCATACATCTTTCATGTGATTTGTGCACACTTACTAGGATAAATTGGGCAAGTACTGCGTCAACCAAAAATAGTGGAATCTGATAAATGTTTTGTGAGGTCACCCCGAGCATCAAGATGTCCTTTGTTATCGAGAATCAACCTATGAGTCAACTTTATATTTGGAGTCTCCTATACATGCACCTGTCTGGTACTATCGAGACAATAAACCTTATTCATCCATACTGAGTCATCAATCTTATACTATAACTTTGACTCGTGGAAGGAGTTCAACCTAAAATCGTCTTAGATTCTCATTTCTTAAAGGAGACGTTCGTCTTACAATACTCACTCAAGTCATGAGACGTGCTCATTCCATGAGGTTACTTACTTAGACAACTATGTCCACGAGCGGTAGAGAGCCGACACTATGACATGTGTTGTGTCATAAAACATGTTTTACATGACACCCACACACAACAAACTTGACTAACATGCAATTATGGAGCATCTATTAGGTATTAAGTTGACATCAAATTTGGCGAGTTTACATATTTTACCTATACAAACTTAACTCCAGAGCCGCTTATTGAATCTAACAATGGAACTTTAACTCTTGAGGCAATTGGTTGAGGCGCTGACCCGAGGCAACGACACCACTAATGACACTGTAGTTTTTGGCGTTGCACCTTACTTTGACAAGCTTGCTCATACACTCTTGGTGCATCAGATGATGCACAGTTTTCATCAACCGTGTTACAACACTTCTCTCTCGATCTATAACATAGCTCGATGGATGATACTAGCATGTCACCGCTATTCCTGTTTTCAATACCGGTCACGACCTACTCATTTTTAGTATAGGCGTGACATCGACTACTCATGGTGACATGTAGAATCAAACTTTTACTCTTTTAATTTATAAACGGAGCGACATTATTAGCTCATCATGAATTCATAAATCATAAAATACTTTCCTGGCCGCCCATGGGTATCCCGCAGCCCACAGATTCTATTCCTCCGGCCAATGGCGTGTCTCCATTCTCCAGCGAACGCTGTTTCTGACGATTCAACCCACCCAAATTGCTCGAACGGAGAATCTTGGCCCGGAGCTTCATCTTTCCTATAAAATTCCCTGCTTCGACATTGAAGGCGTCTAATCTAGCTTAACAACGCCTCGACAATCAAGTCACTAACCTGAGAAGCCGCTCGCTACTGCAAGAGAGAGAAGATGCAGAGTTTGCAAGATAAGGCTTCCGAGTGGAGCGGAGTGAAGCGTGAAGATGCCTTCGCCATCGATGAAGTCAATTTGTTTCAGAAGTTAGGCCTCCAGACGTTCGTCAATCTATCGACCAAATTCTATAACAGGTCTGTTTCTGTTCATGAATGCAGCATCGCGAAGTGATTTGAGTTTTGAGTTGTTTTCTTATTTTCCCGCGAGGAAGTAAATTGCTGCGGATTCCGAATCAGATTTAGTATTTTTCTTTTTTGTTTTGAGTTGACTCGGAAATGAATTTTAATTGATGGCTGATTGATAAGCAAGATGATGGATGTGTCCAGGATCAGTTGATGAAATATCGTTAATGCTTTAGCTCTATCTCATCGAGATCAAACTGATTGTATTGTTGATTGCTGTGTTTTATTGTTCCATCAATGTGAATATACCAGGGTGTACGACGAGGAGGAGGAGTGGTTTCGATCAATTTTTGGGAATTCGAAGAAAGAGGATGCAATTCAAAATCAGTACGAGTTCTTCGTGCAGAGAATGGGAGGTCCGCCTCTATATTCTCAAAGAAAAGGCAAGTTTTTCATTTTTCTCGCTTGTAGTCTTCCAGTATGAATTGAAAATATAAACTGAAAAGACTTGCAGATCAAATTTGTTCTTTTGTTCCTTTCCCAAATATATTGCACAATGACAAATTATGTTGGTTCTCTGCCTGTTTGATAATCATTTGGTTTTTTACCAATGAAAATCATTCTGTATCGTCCTTTCACCTACGGGTTAGGCTGATTAGTTTGATCTCCGAGACAGTAAACTATATGAAATAAGAGACAAAAACAGAACCTGAATCTTGACCTGCTACCCTGATATAGGCTAAAAACTTAGCTGGTTAAGAAAGACTTAAGTTTAACCATTTCGTTCATCACAACAAATATTGTACCATGTTTAGTTGTAATTGAGCACCAACAGTGCTCTTCATGGCTTGTAGAATGACGTAAACAAAAAAGTGTTCTTATTTCAAGTTAGAAATCACTGGTTGATGCGTAGAAAACAGCTGTTTTTCCCCTAATAACATATGGAAATCTGTTTTTGTTTCTTATTTGCTGAGCCTAACCTCTCATTTGAGTTGAGGCAATCAATCAATTATGTCTTCAACATGCTCAAAACTCGTTACCTAACAATTTATCATGGAGGTCTCGATATGTCATCTCTTCCATTGGTGATGATTATGATTCATAAGAAATTTGGTTCTGTCATGCACCCCATGCCCTACCTTGAGCACTCTGCAGTTTGGTTAGTTTAGGAGCTAAAAAGAACGTATTAGATGCTCAAGAGTGCTTTTGTCATGTTTGAAGCACTTTTGCTAACCAAACATCACTTAATTGCTTTGTGAGAAAATATTTGTGTAGCGTCTAATGCTATGTTAAAATGGGCTTGTTATTAAGCATTTTTTTAATCATTATGCATACAATGAATGGCAAATACTCACAAACTCACCCTAATTTAGCATACCCCGCAGCTCGGTGGCTTAACGTTTAGCTTGAATATCAAATTCGAAGAAAGTCTTTTGACCTTGGACCTTTTTTTTACTTGATCCAATGCAATTTCATGGGTACATGAAAATGTAATCTGTTTGCAACATGCTTGTTATGATCCTTACGAACTTTGATGGCATTTCAGGTCATCCAGCTCTTATAGGTCGACATCGACCGTTCCCAGTCACGCATAGAGCGGCAGAGAGGTGGTTACATCACATGCAGCTAGCATTAGACGAAACCCCAGATATAGATGCAGATTCAAAAGTCAGAATGACAAACTTTTTCAGGCATGTATTCTTCTCTTGGTTCCTTATACCATCATTTATAGGCATCCTCTAATCTATAACCCTTTGTTTATGCGTCTCTATCTATATATGTATGTACATTATAAGAAACGAAACTTTTGTTGAGAAAAAATGAATTTCAAGTGCATACGAATAGACAGTTCCAATAAAGGAGCCACACCAAAACAGTAATGGGTTCAACTCTAATATAAATAAGACCTAAAGGGCAATTACTACATCGAAGCCGAAAAGGGAGACAGACCAAATCACTTTCCAGAAATTCTCTTTAACAACCCAAATCCACCACTAGCAGGTATTGTCTTCTTTGAGGGGTCCTTTTTGGGTTTACCCTCAAGGTTTTTAAAACGCATCTGTTAGGGTGAGGTTTCCACATGCTTATAAAGAATACTTCGTTCCCCTCTTCAATCAATGTGGGATTTCACAATCCGCCCCTCTTGGGGCCCAATGTCCCAGCGTCCTCGCTAGCATCCCGTTCTTTTCTTCAATCGATGTGGAATCTCACATTTTCAATCTCTTTAAAGATTATGTTGTTCCTCTCAAAGCCAAATGCTCTATAGAATATGACCTTTATCTCGAAAAGGCAAATGAAGAAGAAACTCTTCCGAATTGAATGGACTATGCTCTTTGTTTTCATCTCTTGAGTTCCATTATTAGCTTTACTTATTTCCTGGTTGTCTGCAGACACACAGCTTTCTTTCTCGTGGCTGGAGATGAGATGAAGAATCAAAACCTGCAAACTCAATGCAAGCATGGTATCCAGCAACCTGCTGCCCCATAGAGATATTCTAGGACAGTCACAGAAGCATATCTTCCAGTCAAATAATTTGATCTTACATGCTGGTAAGACTGTTGAATATATGTATTTCCATCTCCAACTGACATTGAATCTTTACTGATAAGAGAGGACTCTCCTCTATTTGACTTGAATGACGGCATCTTTTTTTTTTTTTTTTTATGTGCTGCCCCGCTCCCTTTCTGCATATGAACGAAAGAGCAAGTCCTTAACTCGATTTCCGATAGGTCGGGCAAGCGGCTTGGCTTGATAAAAAAGTCAACTCCAACCATTTATTTGTTCTCCAACACTTATCTTAAGAAAAGATCTCTTGCAAGATAAGTCTAGTTTCGTCAAGAAATTACTTTTCTCATTGACTGCATAAACTACTTGTTAATGAAATAAAGTCAAAACTAAGGCACTAGGTATTTCATAAGACATAGATTAATAAAATCAAATGTTAAGCCATACAATTTTGCATTTTCACACATTGTTTATATATATCAAAGTGCGAGGAAAAATCCAGTACGTGATCCATAAAAAAGTTCACAAGTGCCGAGTTGGTCAATTTAAAAAAAAAATTGTTTACCCACAAATTTTTATAAATGTTTAAAATATTAATTTTTAACCATCAAAATCTAAAAACTAAAGGGTTATTGAGAAGTTTATCATGTTTATAATTTGTATATAAAAAAAAATAACTTAACTATGTCGGGTGAAATCAAAATTTCGAGCTTCATGATCACTTTCTACTTTCTTAGGTTGGAAATTTCCACCTTTTGTTACTATTTTTTTTTCAGTTTAACAAAGGTCTTGTACACATAGTTACGAGTTTTATTGTAATATTTTTTTTTCTAAATATGACAACAACACTAATTTGAAAAACAAAACATGCCGCAAATAGTACCTCTTGGTAAAATTACCTCAAATGGCTTAGTAAAATTACCTCAAATGGCTTAGGAGCGAAACCATTTTGGAGACGTAAATAAAAAAGTATTGACCGTTACTCAATTCTTTTTACTGAGTGCTTCAAACGCTCCAAATAGGGTTTATTGTTCGGGTTTGGATGGTAAAATTTTGTACACATCACTACAACTTTTCTTGGATGGGTAATTTGGAGTACATAGTTAATTAACTGCAGCAACCTCCATTCCGGCTAAAGTTTTACCATTGCTGCACTGTGCGTTAAGTAACATTTCGCACATCGGCTTTGGCGGCACGCCTGAGAATTTTAAAACTTCATTCGAATTCCGTCTTTTTTTTGGCGCGGAGACGCTGACTAGATCATAGCTGGAGTTTCGCCAAGGTTTTCTCGATTGCTCATGAATGGCGTCCGGCTCTCCTCCTTCGCGCATCGACCAGGTATTCTTCCACTTCAATCTGTATAGAAAATACCCTAGAGGCTAGAAGTACTCACGAACACGAATTTCATTTGACTATTTCGTAATGTTTCCCTCAAAGCATGTTCAATCTTTGTGGCAAAAAATGGATGTGCATGTTCTTCTCGCTGATTCCGAGGGAATCTTTTTGGTCATTCCTTTCCTCCTTCCTGTATTCGTTGTTTTCTGGTTTTCTACTGGGGAAAAGGCATGGGGAGGATTATACTGCGCTATGTTTGTGCTTTGGATCTATGAATAGGGGAAATATCTACTTGGCTTCTGAGAAAATTAATAAGAGGACCAAGACAGTTCTATTTACGAATTTTTGTTTTCAATTTAGATTAATTAGAGGTCGATTGCAAACTTGTTGTCGATTATTGATGGGATGTGATACTATCTGTGTTTCTGAACATAATGATTTGATCATTTGGACCTATCATTTTATTCCAATTTTAATTGATGGGTGACATCTAAGTGATTCTTATGCGTGTGGGGTTCCTCTACTACGTACAGTTTTATGCTTCAAAGAAAAGGAAACCTCTTACTCCCAGTCTGAAGTCTGGGAGTTACGACAAGGATGGAAAAAGGTCACTTGAAGGGTCGCCTGGTACCAAAGGTACGTTGGACAATTACCTGGTGACCTCACAGGACCTTGGCAACGATAACCCATCACATTCAGTTCGGGAAAACTTGTCTGGGCAAGACCCAGTAAAGCGAAACCTATTGTTGAAAATTAATAACTCCTCTAGAAATGAACATGAGGAACCCACTTTGTCGAGAGGACACACTTCTGAAGCAACTGAAGGAATCAAGAAAAGAACTCTGGAAGACTCATACGAGAACAGAAGTTCAGCAGTCAAATCTATGGCAAGTGATTGGGGTGTCACACCGTGCATGGAGAAACCAGAGCTTAAACAGTTTGCAGCTGATTTCTTGTCTCTGTACTGCAGGTATATGTAAACTCTAGTTCGTTAAAATAACAAAGTCGTTTTCGTTTTTAATGTTCAACTAATAGTATAATGTTATGGCCCTATTTGTAGCAGTGAACTACAGACGACTGTTAGTTCGCCAGTAGAGCAAAAGGTAACTTTTAAGAGGCATTCCAGTCCATCTCTACTAGAGGGGGAGGCTAAATTACCGAAGAAGTTGCATTTGATGGCGGGTCCATCAAATGCCAAAGGTGAAACCAATTCCTCAAGTGCATTGAGTGATGGAAACAAGCAGTCCAATTTTTTGGTAGAAACTGGGGTATATTTTTTGGCTTCTTCTGCAAAGTTGTGATTCAGCCTTCTTTTATGGACTTATATATTTATTTGAAAAATATGATATCCTTTCTCTGTATGTCTATTATGGCAGGATACTGACAATCACCATCCTGTTGCGCTTAAGGCATGCCTGCAGAAATGCAATAAAGCACCTATATCACCTTATTGTTTGACTGAATGCAGAACACCAGGCTTGTCGACTGCCAATGCATGTTTTCGTGAGACGCCCAAGTCTGGAAGCTCGTCATTTTCTCCTGGAGAAGCTTTTTGGAAAGAAGCAATTGTGTTTGCAGATGGTTTATGTGCTCCTAGCATTGACCTTACCAGTTACGATGCTGAAGGATCTAATCCTGTAGAGGGCCAGAGTAATACGAAGAAACTCCTATTACCAGGGGAACCCACTCAGAAAAGGTTAAAAGGGCAGATTGGTGGAGGTAGTGGTGGAGTCCGGCTTGGGGAACCTGGTGCTTCCATAGTTTCGCTGAGGAGTGATTTGAAAGAGTTAAATAGAGAAGTGTCTTCACTTCCTGTTAAGCATTTTGACTTCTCGGCTGATGATAAAAACTTGGTTGAAAGTACATCACCTTCTTGTGCTTCAAATGAATCTAAAGTTCATGCATATGAACTTAATGAGCAGTCTGATTGTCGTTATACAACTCATGACAGTCCACCAAAGCATAATGAAAAGATCTGTGACAGAGATTCTCTTACAAAAGAGAAGATACATGAAACGAAAGTAACTTCGTCTGTTCCAATAGGGACTGAAGCAAAATTAAATATATTTAGTCCCTCTGATAGTATCACATCAGACACAGTGGTTCATGAACTTAGGGCTTCTACTGTTCAGGATTTTAAAGAGGGAATGACACCTTCAAGTTCAATAAGACATAAAGATTGGCTGGATCTAAGTTACTGGCTGCCTCGTGAAATTTGCAGCATTTATAAAGAGAAAGGAATCACAAAACTGCATCCTTGGCAGGTAGTGTAAAGTATTAAAAAAATTTATAGTGCTTCCTTCGCAAGTGTATAAAGATGTTTGGAGTACGTGGAATCCCTTAAGTTCTTGTTTTGGACTCCATAAAATTTATCATTTTATACCCCAAACTTTTGTTTGTTTTTAGTTGACTCTATGAAAATAGTACATTGTTATAGATGGTACTTTTTGCTGTATGTCTGTATATTGGTAGAATTACTTCTTTTAATTCTGCTTCACTTTTACAGGTTGAATGTCTTAATGTAGATGGTGTCTTGCAGAGAAGAAATCTTGTTTATTGCGCATCGACCAGGTATTGTAATTTAGCGTTGACTTTTTCTTTTTTCTAGAGTGTGTTATTATTTTGATTAAAAAATTTATAGTATCCAACAATGGCAGAATAGCTGTTGCAGACTAGCTTGTAGTTTTAAGGATCTTGTAGGGGTGTCATTTTCATAACCGACATAATTTCTAAGGTAAGCCTTTTGAAACCTTAGCTTTGGAGTTTTTCCCAACCTATATACCTTACTAATAGACAAAGGAAGCTTACATTTTGCATAGAAATGGTTTTCTTTTTGGCAGTTATTTTGAAATATATATATTAAAATTTTTAAAACAAATATTCAGTGAAAATATTTTGCATAAGCATAACTCATTTAGTTTAGTTTTTTTTTTTTTTTGGGTGCTCTTTTGGGATGATTTATACTTAGTAGGGATTGCAAACCAATGATGGAGGGAGGCTCTTCCACGTCTCCCCTTGTGTAGAAAGGGATGCTTTCGTAGCAAGCTAGCTTCTTTGAATTTTTGGGTTCGGAGGAATAAGATGGTCCTTTAGGGTGTTAAGGGTTTGGAGCACTACTCATTTCGATATCTTCTTTTGAGTTTCAAAGAATAGAAAATCTTGTAGGTGTATCCTTCATTTGAATCGTTAACGATGTATGTCACTTCCATTCTCCTCCACAAAATTCGGTTGTTGATTGTTTTAAAAATTGAATTAATCATAAAATTAATCTTTAAATTTTTATTAAATCATGTAAATGTTCTTTATTCTCTTGTTTTATTTAATTTGTGTATGCGAACCTTTTGTTTTTAGAAACAATTCAAGTAGTTTTCATTTGTAAACTATTGGCTTGTATATGGTAAGTTCAAGTGCTTATAATCTCAACACTTACAAGCCATTCAATTTCATTTTTAAAAAGTTTTAGAATAAAAGCATAAAGTTATTTGTAAACAAGTTTCCCTTACACGAGTAGTTAGTGGTATTTTCTTTGTAAGTGCGTGGCAGAGGAGTTGGATTCTCTGTTGTGGAGATATGAGTTCACTCTGTTTGTTTGAAATTATTTTTGGTTACTTTATCATAAGTAGTTTTAAAGAACTAGGCAGTGAGATGCATCATCTTGGGAGTACGTGTAAACCTCAGCCCACTCTAATGCCTTTTCGGCTGCCTACCTATTGTTAAACCTTTCTTTTTATCTAGTTTACTTTGTTGTTCTTTCACTTTTCCTAATGAAAGTTCAGTTTCTCATCAAGAAGATCATAATGCACACATTTTTATGATAAGGTAATTATAATTAAAATACTTATAATAACAAATGCTAACAACAATACTTCTGATCTTACCCTATGTGTTTCTTAATTTGTCTGTATCTTCTGCAGTGCTGGAAAAAGTTTTGTTGCTGAGATTTTAATGTTAAGGCGGGTAATTTCAACTGGAAAGATGGCACTTCTTGTACTTCCATATGTATCAATTTGTGTAGAAAAGGTGATCTATGACATTCAAATTCAATAAACTATGCAGATAAAATAATTCTGTCAATATTTTTATCCTTAAATTTGATAACTAAATGTTTTATTTGCAATTTCTAATTGTTCTAGGCCGCGCATCTTGATGTTCTTCTTGAACCTCTGGATAAGCATGTGCGTAGTTATTATGGAAATCAAGGTGGTGGAACGCTTCCCAAGGATACTTCTGTGGCTGTTTGCACAATTGAGAAGGCAAACTCTTTGATAAACAGATTGTTGGAAGAGGGTCGTTTGTCAGAAATTGGAATTATTGTGATAGATGAATTGCACATGGTAACTAAGAAAATCAATATGAAATTACAAATTCTCGATGAAAAATTTGGTATGTGGAACGGAAATAGAGGAAGACTGTTCTTGTGTATAGCCTATGGCAATTCCTTTGGTGGATTCTTTTAATATTTTTCTCCTTACTATCTGGCCTGTAAGTAAGTGATTATCGATATGCTAGCCTGCTAGCTCAATATTTCATGAGTACATGAATTTCCAACTTTCTTTAAGAGACCAATTTGTAGTTAAGCTATACCTTTCCACTCAGGGCATTCACCTGGATGATTCTTGTTTTGTTGATAGGTTGGGGATCAGACGAGGGGTTATCTTTTGGAACTATTGTTGACAAAACTTCGTTATGCTGGTGGTGAAGGTAATTCAGATTCTAGCAGTGGTGAGAGTTCTGGGACAAGCAGTGGCAAGTCAGACCCTGCTCATGGTATTCAAATAGTTGGCATGAGTGCAACCATGCCAAACGTGGCAGCTGTTGCAGATTGGCTTCAGGTTAGTGAAATAGTAACCCTTTTATTAAAAAAAAAGCTAATATGAAATATGATTGTTGTAGAGGAAACATGCACTAGTATTGTTTGTGCTGTTGTTTAGACTCGTGTAGATGCTGGTTGTTCAAATGAGAAACATCACGTGACTTTTTGCATGTGTATGGGAGTGCTTTTGATTAAGAAGTGCTTCTATTACAAGAACTGAAAATTTTATTTTAGTGCTTGGTATAAGTACAAGTATGGATGTAGAAAGAACCCTGTGGGAGATGATATAAGATGTAGACTATAGAGAGATTAGCAAGGGAAAGATACATTCGCATATTTCTTCCTAAATAAGTAGAGAAACCTTAAGGAAGAAGAGAGGTGAAAACCCACTCGTATTAATCCTTGCATTTCAAGAAGTCTTGTACATGTGTGAAAATTATGCATTAATAGTTTTATAATAAAATCCTAATAGAGAGTCTAAATTGATTTAGAGTTTTAGTTGACTCAGTTATTAACGGGATTTGAAGTGATACAATCTCTAAAGTTTAGGTATGTCTGTCAAATTCTTTTTTTCCCCAATAAAATATTTTCAAATTTTACTACAAGAAACTCTTTACAATTTATATACAAGATTTCAGTTCTTAAGTGGTTTGGGGATTGACTGCAACAGTTATACCTTGTGAAAAATCTAAAGGCTTGGCTCTTGCATCTTATATGTCAGACTACTCCATTGTTACTTTGAAAATTTGCATGCAGGCAGCCTTGTACCATACTGATTTTCGACCTGTTCCTCTAGAGGAGTACATTAAAGTTGGGAATACCATTTATAATAAAAGTTTGGACATTGTTAGAACAATCTCAAAAACAGCTAATCTTGGCGGTAAGGATCCAGATCACATTGTAGAATTATGTAATGAGGTATGGTTTCTTTTGATTTGTTCAGTAGTACTTGTTCCTAAATTTATATTCAATAATTAATTTTTAAACTGTATTTTAGGTAGTTGACGAGGGTCACTCAGTATTGATCTTTTGCTGTAGTCGGAAAGGATGTGAATCAACAGCAAAACACGTGTCAAAATTCCTCAAGAAGTTTTCTGTCAAACTTCATAATGAGAACAGTGAGTTTGCAGACATTTCTTCGGCAATTGATGCGCTGCGAAGATGTCCTGCTGGGCTGGATCCTATATTAGAGGAAACCTTTCCATCTGGCGTTGCCTACCACCATGCTGGCCTTACTGTATATTCATCATCTCTTATACCTGCAATTACATCGTATTGTTGATCATCCTTTAATTATTTATTACTTCTCAATAGGTAGAGGAAAGGGAGATTGTTGAAACATGCTACCGAAAGGGTCTTTTGCGTGTTTTAACTGCTACATCTACCTTAGCTGCTGGAGTTAACCTGCCAGCTCGAAGGGTCATTTTCCGACAACCCAGGATTGGACGAGACTTTATTGATGGTACAAGGTACAAGCAGATGGCTGGTAGGGCTGGCCGTACTGGTATTGATACCAAGGGGGAAAGTGTAAGTATTCATTCTTTAACTGAAGCGCCAGTTTTTATTAATATGCTGATTTATGAACGTATTGTATCAACTGACCTACTCTACCCTACCTCTTCTTTTTTTATTCGTTGTATTGAAACATTTTCCTTCTGTTAAATTCTTCTTTTTTCCTGACATTTTTCTTCAATTCCATTTGAGCAGGTACTCATCTGCAGACCAGAAGAGATTAAGAGAATTAATGAACTTCTTAATGAGAGCTGTCCACCACTGCAATCATGTTTGTCTGAAGATAAGAATGGAATGACTCATGCAATTTTAGAAGTTGTGGCTGGTGGGATTGTTCAAACTGCTACTGATATTCACCGATATGTAAGATGTACTCTTCTGAATTCTACAAAACCATTTCAAGACGTGGTTAAATCAGCACAGGAATCTCTTCGGTGGTTATGCCATGGAAAATTTCTTGAATGGAACGGAGATACCAAGTTGTATAGTACCACGCCTCTTGGACGTGCATCATTTGGAAGCTCTCTTAGTCCAGAAGAATCACTAGTAATAAATCTCTCCTATAATTCCACCACCAGTCCCTATCGTGAATACACGTGTTACAAAATTACCATTTACTGTTAAGTTTTCATTTGTTTCTATCAGTTAATTACTATGTAGCCCAAATAGTAATTAAGTGGACTAGAAGGCTTTCTAACTGATTATTTTATTTTGAATCTTTCCTTAGATTGTGTTGGATGATCTTTCAAGGGCCAGAGAAGGATTTGTGCTTGCATCTGATCTGCATTTGGTGTACCTAGTCACGCCGATCAATGTTGATGTTGAGCCAGATTGGGAGTTATATTATGAACGGTTTATGGGCCTGTCTTCTCTTGACCAGGTAAGGTTGGTTACTTTGCTAGTTTAGATCCCTCTCAAGTCATCAGAAATTTACAATTAGAGTCTAGTTTTTGGATCAGATTAGGTTCTTAATCCTCTCTACAATTAAGTTCTAAGATATAAGTTAATTAAATGCAAAGTAACATCAATATTTTAGGCCACATTTCAGTGACATTACCACTACCAGAAAATTTAGATGTTTGGTGCTAAACTTAGATCTCTTTTTTCTTTTGTTATCTTTGCCAACTGGAGCTGTTAGAATTTGTTTCCTGGCAATGAGAGAAGATTTGTTCTCTCCTTAAATATCTCATTTGAGACCAAGTGACGTTTAGTGTCCTACAAAAATTAGATTCAAATTTAAGTACTCTTTCTGGTGCCTATTTTAGTCTATTAACGCTTTCCCCACTTCCATCTCTCTTAAATTCTTTCTTTATAATGCGTCCTTCATTCTTTTCTGTAGAGTTGCCAAGTGCTTCGCTATTGAATAGATGATTATTCACACGTGAAATTTCTTTCGTCAACAGTGAACTCTGTCAACTTTTCTTCCATTGCTTCCAATCTGTTATCCATTTTCTTTTAATGCAATTATTCCCTCGTAGATGGAACTGCTCTAATACTACCTGTGTTGCTTCCCTTTGGTAAGCATTGGCTACGAAATTTCAATGGTCAACAGCCAAAAAAAATTCAATTTAGGAGGATTCTGCTGCAAAATTCCACTTGGATACTGCTCTCGCTCTCTCTTTCTGTTATGTTTTGCTAATTTACATGCCCGCAGATTCCTGTCTCTCCCCAGTTAATAGTCTATTAACCCTCTCACTTTGACAATGGTACAGGGACTTCTAAGTTCTTTCTGAGTTCTCACAGTCGCAGCCCCTTTTTACCCTGTTTCCTATACGTAAAATGAATTGAGAGTCTATCGTTATACAAGGTCTTTATTTCTAAATATTTGTAAGGAGGGACTTGCTGGGTTCCTGTCTACTTGTTTAGAACAGATAATATATATGAAACTACATGTACTACTTACCTCGGTAGTCTGTCAGACCTCTTGAGACCTCACTTTTTGGTTGCCCAACTTAGCGTGTTGAAAAATTTCAAAATTCTTCTGTACTATTTTTTTAAAACTAGAAACAACTTCTTATTGATATAATGAAAAGGAATAAATGTTCTAGGAATACAAACTCTCAAAGGGAGTGAAAGATAAATAATACTTACAGTAAATACAACCAAATAGAGATTAGCCATGAACATAAATAAACACTTAAAGAACAAAAAAATTTCCCGAAACTTCGTTTAAAAGACTTAAAGAGCTTGCAAATGAATGATGAAACTATAAATAAGGCATCCACCAAATGCTGAGAGCCGATAGCATCTTCAAATCTTCCAAAGAAAACCAAGAATGGACCACCAACCAACAAAAACCTTTTAATATCCATTGTAAAACAACCAATTGAAAGAAGCTTTGCAAGAACTATTAACCAACTGAAAGAAGCTTTGCAAGAACCATCAGTAGCTAAGAAATAAAAAATCTCATGCAAGTTTGTTGAACTCTCTTCCTCATATTTTACTTTATACTTCTCTTCTAATAATTATGTGAAATGTAAATGCAGTCTGTTGGGAATCGAGTTGGAGTTACAGAACCATTTTTGATGCATATGGCACATGGTGCACCAGTTCGACGTGCAAACTTATCACGAAATGGTGTCAAGGGTTTACATACAAAGCGTGATGAACATGGGTGTATGTATGGTGACAGACCTTCAGAGGAGCAAACTATTCGAGTGTGTAAACGGTTTTATGTGGCTCTCATCTTGTCAAGACTTGTTCAGGTGTGTGGATGTGCAGTTAATCTTGAATTTATGTCTACATGATTGGTAACTTTAATGCTTTGCTGTTCCCTACATTATAAAAATAAAAAACACGAATACCTCTTTTCTAAATCACCTATATATACAGAAACAATAAAATTCTTTTATTTTTTCTTCATCTCAACAGCTGAGCCAATAAATTACATTCCTTCGCTTTGGTTATTCATCTTTCAATTTAGCCCAGTAATTGAACAGTTTTTGAAAGATTTCCACCTAATTTAATTCTTGCTGGTTCTGAAGGAAACTCCCATTCCTGAAGTTTGTGAAGCTTTTAAAGTTGCCAGAGGGATGGTTCAAGCATTACAAGAGAGTGCCGGAAGGTTTGCATCTATGGTCTCCGTATTTTGTGAGAGACTTGGATGGCATGATCTGGAAGGTTTGGTAGCCAAGTTCCAAAATCGTGTATCATTTGGAGTTAGAGCAGAGATTGTAGAACTTACTAGTATTCCATTCGTTAAGGTATTTTTCTGTTCCTTTGAATTTTCTTGTCAGCAGCAGTGTAATGTTATTTACTTCAAGCACTTTGTTTCCAGGGTTCTCGTGCCAGAGCATTCTACAAAGCTGGTTTGCGGACACCTTTAGCAATTGCAGAAGCCTCTGATGCTGAAATAGTTAAAGCTCTTTTTGAGTCTGCATCATGGACTGCAGAAGGTGAGCTTAACGAGACACTATTATTTGTTTGTGCTGATTCTGGTTAGCAGGGAAAATTATTCTTGATATTACGCAATTTTCTCACCCAAGGAGTTTGTTCAAATTTTGTTGTTGATTTCAATGGGAGGGAATAATGACTGTATGAGGCAATCTAGTATCAAGGAGATTATTCTGATTGACCCTCTATTTATTGAAGATATTAACCTACTAAGTAAACTAACGGAACAACAAACCAAGATCAACAATGAAAACAAACGCAAATCAAAATTATAAATTAACTCCTAGTTACAGTACACCAGCCTTCCTGTCTATGAACTTGGGTTTAGTCATAGTTGTTCTCAACTCATTACTAATTAGTTATGACATGATCTTGGTAATATGCTGTCTTCAACACATGCTGCAAAACAACCATTATTTTTTTCTGATAGAACACAGAAGTATACTGAACAAAAATATTATATAGCAAACATGAAGATATGGGGAGTTACATGACCTGAGAGAACTCCATGTAATACATAAGGTAAGCTCACAAGCTAGATATTTTACATTCTTCACCCACCAAATGTGAAAAAAGTTCACCTTATCCAAAACAACAGTTTAAGCAGCAATCGATCAAGTAACAATTAGCTCCATGCATTGTACTTAAATATGCGCACTTGATACTCTAATGGTTTTACACTTAGTTGTAGTGATTATTTGTTGAGTCATTAGGATTGCGTAGTGTGAATTCCTTTTATATTCTCTTACTTTTCATTTATTTTCAGATTCAAATGACTTTATTCTGGGAGATTAAATGATTTTTGGTTACTGTTATAATCGTTGTTATCTTCCTCCACCTCCAAAATTTTAATATTGAAGTTGACTGTATAGAGAGTACAGCACAAAAACGGATGCATGTTGGAATAGCAAGGAAGATTAAGCTTGGTGCTCGTAAAGTTGTCCTGGACAAAGCTGAAGAGGCAAGGATTGCTGCATTCTCGGCTTTTAAATCATTGGGGTTTATTGTGCCACAAATTTCTCGTCCCTTGTCAGCAAGTGCAGTTGGAAATATAAGAGCACAAGTGGCTGCAATTGTTCCCTCTGAAATTGATACTTTTAACAGAGTTGTTAGCACAACACAAATGGAGCATGTTTCAACTAAGTCTTGTGTTGGAGGAACTTCCAGTTCTGAAAAAATAGGTGGAAAGAACCTGAGTGAAACAGGAGCAATTTCTGTTGAAGCAAAACGGCCCACGTTTGGTGTTGAAAATACAATGGTGAAGGTTGAAGGGTCAGCAATCCAGGAGGCAAACAGTGTTGTTGACTGTGCAAGAAAGGTAGATGTTGTAATCGCTAATCAAGTGGAAAAAATTAATGATAAAGATGCTCAGAGGGAACAGTGTAGTATTAAAGTTTTGCATCCTCCCAAAAGAGACGGTCTTTCTATGAAAGGTCCTATCCATGCAGTTAGTACATCTGGCGGATTTGAATCTTTCTTGGACTTGTGGGGTGCTACCCAAGCATTTTATTTTGATCTTTATTACACCAAACGATCTGAAGTGAACTCTGTTGTCCCCTTTGAATTACATGGAATAGCTATCTGTTGGGAAAATTCTCCGGTCTATTATTTGAACCTCCCAAAGGATTTGTTGTGGCCCAAGACTGGAAAAGGTTGTTATCCGGATGACAGCACACCTGGTGACCAGTTAGATGTTTCGCAATATGAACATTGGTTTGAGATATTAGAAAAGAGATGGAAAAAGATCAATGAAATTTTTGTGAAAGAGAATGTCAGAAAGTTTGCGTGGAATTTGAAAGTTCAGATTCAGGTACTTAAATGTCCAGGAGTTTCTGTCCAGAAATTGGGTTTATTGAATTCTGCTCGACGTAATATGGATCATAAACTTGTAGACGGTTCATACCTACTGCTATCCAGTGTTCACATCAGCAATGGAATTGATATGTGCATTGTAGCTTGGATTCTTTGGCCAGATGACGAGAGAAATTCAACCTCTAACCTAGAGAAGGTATGACAATGAAATCAACTAAAGCAAAAACATAACTTAAAAATAAAATTTTCCTTTTGGTGTCTATCATTTTTCAATCAAGATTACACATGATGAATTGTCTAATATTTGATGATCTTTAATCTTCAATTGAAATTGTAATGGTGACGAAATAGGAAGTCAAGAAAAGATTATCTAGTGAAGCTGCTGCTGCTGCTAACCGAAGTGGCCAATGGAAGAATCAGATGAGAAGAGTAGCCCATAATGGTTGCTGTCGGCGTGCTGCACAGACACGAGCTCTATGTTCCGTTCTCTGGAAGTTAATAATTTCTGAAGAGCTCTTGGAAGCTCTCAACAAAATAGAGATTCCATTGGTAAATCTTGTTTTTTGTTTTGTGGGCATTTTCCTGAAGGGAAGATGACATTAAGAGTTGATTCTTCAAATGCCAATAAAAATTTGAGACAGAAGCTGTTAGTGGGTTTAGACAGAACTTGTTTAACCATTGAAATTTTTGTAGGTAAGTATTCTTGCTGATATGGAAACCTGGGGTATAGGTGTTGACATGGAGGGATGCATTCGGGCCCGTAATTTACTGGGGAAAAAACTCAGGTGCCTTGAGAAGGAAGCTTATAGGCTATCTGGCATGACCTTCTCCCTGTACGCAGCAGCAGATATTGCTAATGTTCTATATGGACATTTGAAGCTCTCTATTCCAGAGAGGTTCAACAAAGGCAAACAACATCCAAGTACTGACAAGCAATGTTTGGACTTGCTGAGGTACTAACTTGATTCTTATAATTTTTATGCTTGCATGTGAAATTGATAATAAATGCCAGGATGCAAGTTATGGTTGCTATCATTGTTTTGCACAGAAGTAAGCTCTGATTATCTACTGATATGGAACAATAAACTTTGATGTTGTTCAACCTCTCCGTTTTTCCTTCTAACTCTAAGCTAACAGGAAGAGACCTCCAATATTGTTGTGCCTTCAAATATGATTTCCCCTTTACAATACAACATAAGAGGCTCTAGGCTTAGCATTTGAATTCTGAATTCCAGGTCCTTGAATTGTGGGCTCCATCGGATTTCTTTCCTCATATTTCAATTAGTAGTTTTTTACCATATCCCGCAAAGTTGACCATCCTCTTTTATAGGCTAGCTGCCATCCTCTTGTGTCTAGTTTGCCAAGCATTTGATACAGATCTTATATTTCAGGAACGAACACCCTATTGTTCCAGTCATTAAAGAGCACCGGACATTGGCGAAGCTTTTTAACTGTACTTTGGGATCCATTTGCTCACTAGCCAAGCTCTCTGCAAGGACACAGAAATACACGCTACATGGACATTGGCTCCAAACATCCACAGCAACTGGTCGGCTTTCCATGGAGGAGCCTAACCTTCAGGTATGGGGTCTTTATTCCTCCTTTCCATATATTGTTGATGAAGTTAAAAATGAAACCACATGCTAAAGTTGGGATTAATTCTTGGAGTGCAGTGTGTTGAGCATGCGGTAGATTTCAAAATGAATGAAGATGATGTTGATCATTGTAAAATAAATGCTCGTGATTTTTTCATCTCTACTCAGGTATTTCCGTTACTGTTTACTAACCTCTTAAGCATTTACGGTGGATGGGAGTTTTGTCTCCTTTTTTATTTTATTCATCAATGAATTTTGTTGTTTCTCTCTAAAAAAAAACTCTTCTGGAGCATTATGGTTCTTTTTGGGGGGCCATGCTTCACATACATTATATATAGCATTCTGTAACAAGAAACTAATACCAAGAATCCTTGTTCACTTTTTTCTGTCCTACACTTGTGATAATCCTGAGTGTGGATAGATACACGACCCAGTTTCCTTCTAAGTGGGTGTCTTTTGAGTTTTTCGCTTAGTCCTTTTTAGTTTTGTATCTTTCTGAATAGATCTATGATCCAAAAGAAGATGGAAAAGTATTTTATAGAAATATGACATTGAGGATAAAATTGCTTCAATGTTTACTTTACGATTGCAATTTGGGGTCTGGCAATTTTGTATGAAAGTGTCCCATCGGTCTTTCTATGAGCAAAATGTATTTATCATAATTTACTCCTTAAAAACCTTACTTGGTTTTAATCTTGTAATAATGATATAAAATGGTCTTCGTGGTCCATGATATTTTGCATACCATTTTGCCTATTAGCTACTAGCCCACCTGGTTAAATTATGAATAATGTACAAAATACAATTTACTTAATGTTTGTGCATGAAATGGTGATGATTGTGAACTAAAGGTCCTCTATTCTCTGTGCAACCTTGGTTGAGTAAGAATTTTAATATACGTTGTAGGAAAATTGGCTGCTCTTATCGGCAGATTATTCTCAGATAGAGTTGCGGCTGATGGCACATTTTTCAAAAGACCCCTCACTGATTGAACTTCTCAGCAAGCCTCATGGAGATGTGTTTACCATGATTGCTGCTAGATGGACAGGGAAGACAGAAGACTCCATTGGATCTCATGAGCGAGATCAGACCAAAAGGTTGGTATATGGAATCCTTTATGGAATGGGCGCCAAATCACTTGCATTACAACTGGAATGTAGTAGAGATGAGGCTGTGGAGAAAATTCAAAGTTTTAAAAGTTCTTTCCCTGGCGTGGCTTCCTGGCTTCATGAGGCGGTTGCATTTTGCCGTCAGAAGGGGTAAATCTAAATCTTATTGTTCTCTTTGGTGTTTTTCTATTTTCATTTGTTTAGATAAATGCTCATTCTAAATACTAGGAGATTGCCTGTCAGATCCCATATCAGTAGGAGAGGGAACAAAGCACTTTTTATAAGGTATAGAAACCTCTCCTTAGCTGTGTTCTAAAACCCTGAGGGGAAGCCCAGAAGGGAAAGCCCAATAAAGACAATATTTGCTAGCGGTGGGTATGGGCTGTTATAAAATTGGGGAGTCCCACATCGATTGGAGAGGGAAATGAGTGTCAGCGAGGATGTTGGGCTCCGAAGGGGGGTAGATTGTGAGGTCCCACATCGTTTGGAGAGGGAAACAAAGCACTCTTTATAAGGGTATGGAAACCTCTCTCTAGTAGATGCATTTTAAAAACTTGAGGGAAAGTTCATAAGGGAAACCCCAAAGAGGACAAATGTGTTAGCGTGGGCTTGGACTGTTACACTGCCTGTAAATGGGTCCTCAACTTAACTTGTAAATAAATTTGTATGTGAGAGTGTATACTGAAGCACGTACATAACTTGTAAATTTGTATGTGAGAGTGTATACTGAAGCACGTACACTTGCTCTGGATTTCTTTTCGCTTTTCTGCATCATATTTTATATTACTTTTTTTGTTCAGGTATGTTGAAACTCTTAAAGGAAGAAGACGCTTCTTGTCAAAAATTAACTCTACCAATAGCAAAGAAAAATCAAAAGCACAGAGACAAGCTGTGAATTCAATTTGCCAGGTATTTCTACCTTCCTTTCGTGTGATTACTATTATTCTCTTCTGATTTAAAAAGGATTGTGTAATTATGTGCTACTGGTTTTGCTTTCACTAGGGTTCAGCGGCTGACATAATCAAATTGGCTATGATCAACCTTTACTCCGTAATCAGATCCGATGCTCCAGATCTTACAGAGTCACCTGCAGCTAACAATAATATATTGAGGGGTCATTGTCGAATTGTATTACAGGTTCATATGCAGTTTCCATTTTCAAATTACTTAACCTTTTCAGTTGCCATGTTCGTTACTGTCTATTCCACTAAATGTAGAATCAGTTTCAGTAATTGCGAAGATTTTTACTCAGGTGCATGATGAGTTAGTGCTGGAAGTGGACCCTTCCGTCGTTAAGGAGGCAGCAGCTTTGTTACAGAAGAGCATGGAAAATGCTGCCTCCCTTCTGGGTAAAATAAATATGCAGCCGCCCTTGCATTTCTCCTTTTTCTGCATTCAAAATGTTTATCTTATCACAAGATCTTTAAATGTGATTCTTTTCAGTTCCTTTGCAAGTCAAACTGAAAGTTGGACGAACATGGGGTTCTTTGGAGCCATTCTTGCTTGATCACTTCAAGATTGATGACCTTGTAACTGGATCTTGACCACGCAAAGGAATTTCCAGATAAATGGACCAAGGTCTGTTTGTTATAACCATATAAGATTCATCTATTCCAGCAAATTCACCAGAATTGAACATTAATTAGATCATCTGATAGAACTTTTCTCTTGGTTTCTTGGTTCAAATTAATGATTCTTTTTTTCTTGTTGGACTGAAAATGTTCTTAGTCTGATTGAACTTAAAGGGTTTCAGATTCTCCAGCAGAATGCTTTGTGGAAGCAATAGAAGACCTGGTCTCAAGAAGGAAAAGTGCTTGCCATGATTCTGAGACCTTTTATCCAATGCTTCAATCCACAGTTTCTTTTAGTCAGCAGCCACCAAAACAACCGATCAATTCACTGAAAAATCTGTTGTATGGTTGCAAAGTAAACGGATAGTCTGCCTTCGACACACGATCGAGTTAACACCTCACATCGTTCTTCTGCCGCTGTTGCCTTTCCTTGAAGTCATCTTTCAGCTTCTGAGTTACTTGAGTTGATTTGTCGGTCGAGGGAAGAAGCATTGTTCCTACCATCTTCTAATGATATCCTGCCCATTTGAGACTGTATTGGTAATATCCTCTCCACACAGCGGTAAGAATTATGCAAACAACATACGCAAAGAGGAGCTGCTATAGAGTGACAGCAAGAACCCGGGGGCACCATACTTTGTAAGGTACACATATCTATCTTTCGAAGAAACAGCCGCATTTGGTTCCTCATTTGATTTGAATGGTTCACTTTTACCATTTCCAGTACCTGCTCAGTCAGTCATTCTCATGTCGTTGCTGCCAAATTTTTGGCATCCTTGTTCGCCATGGTATGCAGTTTGCCCACCATTTCCATAAACTTATAAATTCAAAATGGAAACGTTTCGCTGTTGCATTTGGAGATGAGTTTTTTCAGTGAACTCCAATGCCTGTCTCTCTCTGCCCCCTTTGAGTTCTCTTCCTTTTGGCACCCTTTTTTCTTTTGTTTCAAATTGTACATATTCATAGTGTTCCTTTTCAATTATTTAATAACTTCTCATTCTTGTAATGTGCCTTTTTGTTAATCATTGAGCTATTAATGCACCTTCCCTTTGTTCATTTTCAACTGTATTGCTTTGTTTTGCAAGTAAAATGTTATCATTATGTACTATAAATAATAATATAGAAGTTTATTTTACATGTGGGAGGGGGAAGGCGCGGGTGTAACTCCATTGTTTGAGGTTTTTTTAGCTCAATTGCTAGAACATAGATCGAACCATCAACTTAATAATAGAAATATCTGTTTTCTTGATTTTTTAATTGGTCAGAGCATTGCCTTGTCAATGCGGAAGTTGCAGAGAGCATCACCTTGTCAATGCGGAAGTTGCAGTCGCCTCTCACACCCTGTGAATGAGTTTCGCTCGAAGGATGTACAATTCAATTTCGGTAGTAATATTCCCCCTCCCCTCCCAAAAAAAAACTATACATGAGAGTTTCTATGTTTTGAGAAATATTTACCATCTGAAAAGAGAAAAAACTAGAGTTAAATTGGATACTCGATGGAAGGTTGGGAAGCAGTCACTAGAGACATTCAAAAATCTAGACCTAAAAGATTTGGGTTTGATTTTTTTTTTAGAATAATACAAATGTGGCAGGTAAAAATTTGAACTTTAGACCTAAAAGAAAGAAATACATGCCTCTTGTGAGTGAGTGACCATCTTTATAGGCAAGATTTAAAAGATTTGATACGTACAGCAAAAGAAGGCCCAATAACCATCCTTCTTCGGCCTTCATTTTTCTGGGCCTTTTGCTCGAACTGGATTTAAGTTACAATTATAATATGAAATAAAACCACTTGCAATTTATATTTAATTATAATATGGAAATAATGTCCTTTTTTTTTTCATTTTTTTATTTTATTTTATATTATAGAACAGAGTTTTGAGATATATATTTGGTTAACTACAATTCATTTAAAAGTTCATTATTAATATTTTTATGTTCGCTCTCATAAATGATAACATTTGGAACTATTTAAAAAAAAAAATCATAGACAAAGGAATAATTTCAACATTCATACACTATTATTCAATAAAATTTGTGAAAACTATTCTATCAAACTATGTAACACGACATTCAGTTAATGATCGAAGTTATTTAGATTGTATAAAAATATAGAGTAAAAAATACAATGAAAATAGTAGTAGACAGACAAAATATGATCCTTTGAAATATGTAAATTCGAGCCTAACTCAGAAAATAAAAACACCAATTATAATTTGGAAGATCAATGACTAGATTTTCGTCACTTGCACTGTTGTTGAATTCCTTTGCTTATTTCCCTTTCTTTTCTCTAGTGGGTCGATAAAAAATACATCCATTACTATTTCAAAAGTCAATGGTTATTTTCTCTATTTTAAAAGATTATGAGAATCTCAAAAGATCATGCTTCTGAGATCATTAGAAATTCTTGAGATTTAGGGTTTCTGCTAATAACTTCAAAAATATTTTTCTATATTGACAATATTAAATTCATATATCGTTTCTTAACATTCTATTAAACGGAAGGTAATTTAAAAATATATACTTTTTAGAAGTGGATATCAATAGAAATCTCAAATTCCAATATAAATTTTATAAAAATATTGATGAAAATGTTGATAAAATTTTGATATCAAATTATAAATATAAAAATTCATAATTTTTTTTAAATGAATAAAATAAGTCTTTTCTAATTTTAAACCAATTAATTATTTTTTATGATATAATAAAATTGGTGTTTAATTATTAAATAAAACATTTGCAACAGTAAATACATGATTGGACAAGACTTTAAAGAGAAGGATAATATATATTTTTTAAAATGATTAAAAATGGAATAAAAAAAATGACAAATTATTTGAGGTGATACTACATTTAACCTTTAAATCTATGAGCAGCATTTTTGAATAAAAATATCCGACCATATCGCTGAAACTATATTATATATCAAATATATATTAATATATCTTTTGTTTTTTGGAAGATTCTCATGATATATTTAATGGTGTAAACTTTATTGTATAATGGTATATTATAAAGTTTGATTATTATACAAAAGAACGGGCAAAAGGGGCTTGTAAAAATGCACTTTTAAGGCATGAAATTATTATTCTTATTATTATTATTATTATTTATATATACGCACGAATGTCTAATCAAACTTTATGGTAAGTGAATAATACACTAATTTAAATTCATATGCTTGGAAGCTCTCCTTTGAAATTTTAAATTAATTAAAGGGGCTGAGGAAAATTATATTTTATTTTAATACATATTTTATTCTTAGGCCAAATATATTAATATTAGTGAGAGTGAAGAAAAGTGATTCTATACAAAATAATAATAATAAAAGAATAATTAATATGTGGCATAAAGTATTTAGATTGTAATTTTAATTTAAACTTGAAACTATATATATATATATTGTTAGACGAACACGACTCTCCACAATGGTATGATATTGTCCACTTTGAGCGACTCTCCACAACACTTTGAGCATAAGCTCTCATGGCTTTGCTTTGGGCTTCCCAAAAGGCCTCATTCCAATGGTGGAGTTAGTATTCCTCACTTATAAACCCATGATCAACTCCTAAATTAGCCGATGTGGGACTTTCATCATCCAACACTTCCCCTCGAACAAAGCACGCCTCCCCTTAATCGAGGCTCGACTCCTTTGGAGTCTTAGTCATTTTTGTACCTTCGAGGAGGCTTGACTCCTTTTGGAGTCCTTTGTTCGACATTTAAGGATTTGTCAATTGTCAATCTATTGACACGGCTAAGTTTAGGGCATGGCTCTGATACCATGTTAGACGAACACGACTCTCCACAATGGTATGATAAGTTTAGGGCATGGCTCTGATACCATGTTAGACGAACACGACTCTCCACAATGGTATGATATTGTCCACTTTGAGCATAAGCTCTCATGGCTTTGCTTTGGGCTTCCCAAAAGGCCTCATTCCAATGGAGTTAGTATTCCTCACTTATAAACCCATGATCAACTCCTAAATTAGCCGATGTGGGACTTTCATCATCCAACTTATATGACAAATATCCAAAATAAACATTATTTAAAAAAAATGAAGAAATTTGTAATTATTTTTGTCTTTCTCAAAGAAATAAATTATGAATTTTGTGGGGATAATAATATTTGATGGGAATATAAAGTAATGCTCAAAAGGGCTATTAAAAAGCTATCTTTTGAACTTATTTTAGGGCAACTTTGCAATCATTAAAGTGTGGAAACAACTTGAAAAACTCATGGTTCTAAATTCTAAATCTCGACTCTTGGCGTATCCGATATGGAAGGAGGAGGACGATTGTCTCTTTTTTTTGGTGCAACGAATATGTAACGGTGGAAGATCGAAACTTCAACATTAACAAAACTAATACGCGTGCTTCCTTCCTCTACTGAATTATGTTTAAACAGTAAATATAATTATTTTAAAATTATATTAAGAAATGTCTAGCTCCACCACGGAAGAGAGGGATTCTAAAACCCGAAACCCTAAAGATAGGGACAAAAATCATAGATAAGGGCCGACACGATATATAATGAGGGAGACAATTGTTTTTTTTTTTTTTTTTTTTTTTTT